GATGTATATTCTCACCGCCTGATGTATCATAAATCCACAGCCCAGTAACACTTAAAGCCGAAAGCCCCTCAACCCTAAACCCCTAAACTCTGAACCATCAACCCTTCTAAACCCTAAACCCTTAAACTCTGAACCCAAAACCCCTAAACTCTAAACCCTAAGCCCCAAACCGTGGACCTTCAAACGAAGTCTGTTGAGTGCAGGAGAAGCTTGAGCGGCAAAGCGTACTCCAAGACGCAGCCGTAAGGCGTGCTGGACCCTAAACCCTAACCCCTGAACCCTAAACCCTAAATCCTAACCCCTAAACCCTGAAGCCTAAGGTTCTGAGCTTCAGGGTTATGGGTTTCGGGTTTAGGCTTCAAGCTGGAGACTGTGCATCCACACCCAATGCCCTGAACCCTACAACCCTCCCCCAGATCCCGTATAAGGGACCCTTCTACAGTGAACCCCAGAAAGTTGCAACATGGGTTTAGGAGGATTGGTGCTAGGATTCCCTGTGCTTTACCTTAAGGTCATTAGGATTTTGATGTTCGAACATTCTGGCTTCTGCCATACAGCCCCTTCACTATTGTGTTCGAACACGTAGATTCCGATAGCTTGCCCAGCAACGTGGAGTTTCGAGGTGCTTCCCTAAAGTTTGGGCTTGAGGTAAAGGGAATCGGGTGAAACATACGTTATCTCAGGGTGTGTAGAGAGTTTTTGCCTAAAGCCAAGACTCTACACTCTAAACCCTGGCCCTAAAGCCCTAGACCCTAAAACTCTAAAGCCCTAAGCCCTAAACCCCTGTACAAAAGAGTCCTTGTGGATCCCTTGAAACGGATCCCCACTAACCCCCTATACCACTTCATAGACCCCTGACTAAACCCTAAACCCTAAACCCTAAACCCTAAACCCTAAATTCATAGACCCCTGGCTATAGAGCCTCTTACAGTACCCGTCTATAAGCCCTTCAGGGGAACCCTAAACCCTAAACCCTGAACTCCTACAAAACCCTATAGGGTCCTGAGCCCTAAACCCTAAACACCGTGGAAAGGGTTTAGGGTTTAGGGAAGCCCAAACCCTGAACCCCAAAACCCCAAAGCCCTAAACCCTAAACCGTCCACTGGCAGCAGGCACCTCCCAGCTGAGTTCAACGAAGACCTCAAGAAGCTGAAGCACGCCTGGGCTTGATTTTGTTGTATCGTTGTTTCATGGGCTTTATCAGCTCTTAACGCGTTGTATTTACAGGGTTTTAAATGTATCCTAAACCCTAAACCCCTACACCCCTAAACCCTAAACCCTAAACCCTAAACCCCGAACCCAAAGCCCCAAACTCAGATTTCAGAGGGTGTTGGACGGGTTGGGGATGGGTGTTGCCACGATTTAAAGCCTTAGGGGCTCACACTTTGGGAGAAGAGCTTGGGAGTTCTTTCAGGGGCCTTTCGGGCTTGAGGATTTCGGGTGCTAGGATGTAGGTTTTGGGAGAACCTCCTCATATCTATCTAACTATCTATCGATCTCATGGTGCAGCGTCGCCCGACCCCCTCCCCCCTCCCCCCCCCCCCGCCCGACAGCCAGCAGGCACCTTGTCGAGGAGGCGAATGAGAAGCGTCAAAAGGCAACTGTGGGCTTTTAGGGTTTTGGGTTTAGGGTTTGGGTTTAGCCACAGGGGCTTCGTAAGTTAGTAAGGTCTGCAAAAGGCTTAACCACTTGTCGAGGGTTTTGTGTCCGAGGCTGTATACTCGGCTGTTTACTCGGCATTGAAATCCGCATCCAGGGCTAAGATGGGAAAATCGTTTTGCTGGAGTACGTGAATCCGAGGGCCCTAAGCCCTAAACCCTAAACTTTAGGTATAGAGTTGTCGGGTTCAGGATTTAGGGTTGTAAGCCCTCAGCCCGAACCCCTAGGTGAGGATTTGGGGTTTGCCTGTGACGTCTGGCAAGCACCAATCTGCCAGTGATTTAGGTGCGGAGTCCTCTGTAGACCCTATATATAAATCTTAGAGTTTAGGGTTTAGGTTCAGGGTTTAGCCCCAAACACGAAACCTCCTAAACCCTAAACCCTAAACTCTAAACCCTAAACCCTAAACCCTAAACCTGAACCCGCAACCCGAAGAGCCCTGAACCCGAAGAGCTGGTGATCAAGCCTCCGGAACCCAAACTTGAAATTTCCGGAACCTGGGGAACACTTGCCTCCTAAAGCCCTTGTCCATGCCCAATCCAATTACAAATCCAATCAGATTGATCACTGTCTAGTCCGCCATGATTCGGATTTGTGAGCCCCGTTTGAACCCGCCATAAAATACGCAGCCTCATATAAAGCCGTCATAGACAGTTGAAAAGAAGCCGAAAAGACTTGGCACTACATGATTATTGGCCCCCCCCCCCAACGAAGCTACTAAAAACACTCTTGTAGAAACCAAAACCCTCAACCCTAAACCCTAAACCCTAAACCCTAAACCCCTAAACTCCTAAACCCCTAAGTCCTAAACCTTTAGTGTTGAATAGAATCCTTGTTCAAGCCGTTGGAAAGCGAGACAGGCCGAAGCTTTCGCACCCAGGCAAGGGTCGGGGGCAAGGGGTTTAGGGTTCAGAGTTTAGGGTTTAGGGTTTAGGGTTTAGGGGGTTTAGGGTTTAGGGTTTAAGGTTTAGGGTTCAGAGTTTAGGGTTTAGGGTTTAGGATTCCCTAAGGGTCCAAGTGCCCAAATAGTAGGGTTTCAAGGTCAAAAAAACCATTCAGGGTATGGGAACCTTACTATTTGGACATTCGGACCCTCTGGGATTTTGACTTTGTAGGATTTGCTGTGTTTTTTGGTTGGAAGGGATGACCCTCAACCCTATAAACCCTAAAGGTGGAGGGGCCTGGGATCTGGGATCTGAAATTTGCGGGAAGTCGCGGGATTTTGGGAATTTACTTATAGTCTCCATAAAAGGGTTTAGGGTATAGGTTTGGGTTAGGGTTTAAAATGTAGGTTTAGGGGTTGAGGGGTTCAGGGTTTAGGGTTGAGGGTTTGTCTCCATTGTAGTTCTTTTTTGGGATGACCTGTTAGGACCCTCAATACAGAATTTGCTAAACCAAAAAAACTACAATGGAGGCGCTGGATAAGAGTGCTGGACTAAAAGGCTTCCAATGTACGCATATAGCATGCTTCCGGGCTGAAAGGTGTTCCCACGGTTGATGATATACATCCTGCATTCCCCGAAATGAGGAATAGACCGTAAATCCCATTGTTTAGGGTCCTTAAGGTAATGCAGGGTTTATATATCACCAACAGTATATAGGTATCTTAAAGCTTAAAGTCTAATTATCCTACATAGGCATGGGTCAACCCTGGCCCTAAACCCCAGTTATAATTATGTCTTAAACCCTGGAATGATAAGCCTAATCCCAAAACCCAAATCCCTAAAGCCTATAAGCCGTACAAACAAACCCTTGAGAGCGCTAGTGGCATGGAGCTGGGGCCCGAGGTGGTCAATAAGCACATGAC